TCCTCCAACCAAACAGTGCGCAGAGAATTCCTAGAGATCTAAGCCCCAAAAGAATCATAAACAAAATCAATTCCAATGCATAAAAAAAACTGCAATACTGATTCGCACCAAACCAACAGATCAAGGTTGAAATCTCCTTACTGAAAAACATATCATAAAAAGAAGGCTTCTATACTAAACAGATGCTGATTCTAATTAAGTTCTGATTAACTATGAACACACAAAAAGGGTTTTTTTTTCTTTTTTTCCAAAATTCCCAAGTCTGTAACAGTGATGTAAACAGCAAGCACATCACATCCTTGAGAAGCTTGTACTGCGAGTAGTGGACCGGGGAGACGGAGGGCCGATGTTCTTTCCCTGCTTCTCGGTGGCGCTCACTTCACGATCTTGTTGCTTGATTTTGTCGCTGGAATACTCGGATTTGTTTGTGATTCCGGCAACGTTTCCGCTCCCAGCCTACAATTTCTTTGAACTGCTCTCGTTCTTTGCGTTTCTTTCTTCACTCTCGCATCAATCGCAGAGCTTAATCGTCGCGACGAACCCAGCTCCTGGGTTCCGGATTTGATTTGCCGAAGGTAAACAAAATAAAATAAAATAAAATAATAAGAAAGCCGGAGGAAGGGGAGGAAAAGACAGAAGGCGGAAGAAGATAGGGATAAATAGGTAGTTAAAGTAAAGTACTTTTACTCGCAAAATATCTTTTGAAATATTTATAATGATAGTTATCTAATTAAATAATTTTTAAAATTATATTAGATAAAAAATTTAGTTATGTCATCAATTTTTATTAAAAAATTTTTTTTATGTAATTTAAGTAAAGAAAAAAATAAATTTTTGATTAATTAACATATTACATCACTTATTAAAATTTAACAAAGGGATTAACAAGATATTGAATTTCAAACTTTAGGGTTCAAAAAGGATTTTTTCAATATAATGACTAAAAAAAGGTTTTTTCATAGCAAAGGGACCAAAATGTTATTCAACCTATAAATTATAATGTGTCTGTGTATCATACTACTGTCCAAATTGATTGTTTATCAAAAATAATTTTCTTTTCAAATATTACATATGGTATTATTTTTCCAAATGGATAAATCCTAATGCTTTTATGATTTTTGTTCATTAATCACAAGGACACTTTACTAGTTTCATTTTCATTAATCTTACAAAACAATGAATGAAATTGCATATTATTTAGCTGGTTGTTACTTAAATGCTGAGGAAGAAGTCATGTTTTTGTGGCTTCTATTCAGTTATTCATCTTTCTTTAGATTCATTTTGGATTTGAGTCGCTGCAGAAGACTTCCTTTTATCCAAATATATCTTATTCATCTCTTAGACATTTTTCAAGAAACAAAAAAATGAAAAAAAAAAAGAAAAGAAAATGGCACATTCTTTTAATAGCAATTAGTTTTGTTCAAATATTTAGAGATCCATTTTCTTGTATAGCATCTAGAACCTTGTTAAAAATTGATGGTGTCAAGAGTTTCACACATGGAGAGCTGGCTTTGGCAACAAACAATTTTGATATCTTCAATCAAATTGGCCAAGGTGGATACGGAAAGGTTTATAAAGGCACTCTGGCCGATGGCATGATTGTGGCCATAAAGCGTGCACAAGAAGGGTCATTACAAGGTGAAAAGGAGTTTCTAACTGAAATACAGTTGTTGTCAAGGTTACATCATCGAAACCTTGTTTCTTTGGTTGGTTATTGTGATGAAGAAGGTGAACAGGTAATTTATCTCATGTCTTTTAAAAATTTTGATTGATATGGTACTATATTTTTCCCTACCCATAAATGGTTTGAGAATTAAATGTATGGAGGGAGAAAAGATGTAGTTTCAATGTTTGATTAGCCTAACTATGATAAAATATTGGAGAGATGAACCCTCACTGAGGAAGCAATTTGACTAACCAACTTAGTATGTGGATAGAATTTCATGCCTATTGTCATTTGTTAATTGAAATTTATTATCACATCCAACCATTGCTATCAACAAATGTTGGTATATGAATATATGTCTAATGGCACTCTACAAGATCATCTTTCAGGTAAACCTTTGAATTCAAGAAATGCAAAATGACAATCTTTAATTCTATATGCAAATATTGTTGTCCTTAGTATGATGTTTTATGTGTATGGTACTGCATGCAGGAAAGATTAAAAAACCTCTAAGTTTCGCAAGGAGGTTAAGAATAGCTCTTGGTTCATCCAAGGGAATCCTCTACCTACACGCAGAAGCTAATCCTCCTATATTTCATCGAGATATCAAGGCCAGCAACATATTATTGGATTCTAAATTTGTTGCAAAGGTTGCCGATTTTGGACTTTTACGACTTGCTCCGGTGCCAAATATTGAAGGTGCAACGCCTGCTTATGTGTCTACTGTTGTAAAGGGGACTCCAGTAAGTGTTTTACTTGAATGAAATTAAATTAGAAGCTTCTTTATATTTATGTTTTTAGGATTTGTCTAACTTGCATGCTTAAAGCACAAATTAAGAGTGTAATTATTACACTCTTTTTACATTAATTATTATTAAAAAAATACAAAAGCTGTTATTGATTTCGTCATTAGTGTCATGTGGATCATTTTAATTAAATAGTTACTTAATTAAAGAGTAAATTTTATTTTTTCAATAGTAATTAATGAGAAAAAAGTGTAATAATTACAACCTTACAGTTAGAAAAATCCATTTTTTTAATATCT